GGTGGTCACAATCCTAGTTCCCCGTAAGAGGATTCCCTCATCCAGACCTTTTGCAATCCCTCAAAGGGTCAAAGGAAATCAGATTCCATATAGCTCTGAATCCTTAAGGCAAACCAAATACAAGTGGTCCTCGCTTAATGGCCAGTTATTTACCAAGTGTTCTAATTTATGACTGACCTCCCCAGAACTACTTGACCTGTTTTGGGAGTTTTGACAGCCATGAATGCGCGCACACATGTGCACACACACACACACACACACACACACACACACACACACACACTTATGACCAGTTACAACATCCCACACAGTCATGTAACTGAGGTTTTCTATGTTTTTTGCCAGTTTCCAACAATTCCTTCTCCCTCTCTCTCTCATCTTCTTTCTCTTTTTCTCATTTCTCTCTCATCTCTTCTTTCTCTTTCTTTCTTTCTCTCTATCTCTCTCTTTTTCTCATCTCTCTCTCTCTCTCTCTCTCTCATCTCTCTCTGTCTCATTCTCTCTTTCCCTCTCTCTCTCTGTCTCTCTCTCTTTCCCTCCCTCCCTCTCTCTCTCAGGGGGGGGGGACTCGTGCCAGTTGATGGGAATCTGACATTTGAAAGCCAACAAACCACATACTGAAGACCAGATGGGGGCAACCCACAAAAATATCTCCTGTTGCTTGTAAGCGCTTCTGCTTAGGAGGAAGAGGAGCACAGTGGGAGGAGGCTTGTCGGGTGTCAGAGGGGCAGCGAGTGTTTCGCATCCCCTAAGGGGGATTGAGCCTTCCCACTCACATCTTTGCCTGAGGGCATTGCTGGCAGCCGCTTCCTGCATTTCAGGAGGTCCGTGCTCTTCCTGCTGCTGCTCAACACCCTTGATGCGCAGAAGTTTCCTTCGTTACCTGCGAGCTCTGGGTGGCAAGCAGCCAAGCAAGCAAGCCAGCGATCTGCCGGCTGCCTCTAATCTGCAGTTTACTCATGAGCAGCATTGGCCTTTCTCCCTAACTCTCCTGGCCAATGGTGTTCACGAGTAAACTGCAGCTAGGAATCTCAAATATGGTCAGGAATGAACGTTTGTGTGGTAGCCGCTAGCTGGAGCTACTAAACAGGTGGCCAAACTAAGTGCCTGAGTGGGACTCCCATCCTATCAGTGGGAGTCCAGGCGACTTGGCGATTGGCAAGCAGCTGGGCTCCTCGAGAGACAGAGTTTGCAGGGGGCTGATCTACCACTGACTATAACAGAATGTTCATTCTCATCAGTATTTGAGATTCCTAGTCAGGCCTCCAAAAAGCTAGTCAGGCCCCCAGCAGAAAAAGCTGCTGCCGTTGTTGCCATCTTCTTCGTACATATGCATCCCATTCGATTTTCAAGGTAATGGGATGCGCAGGCGCAAAGAACATGGTGGTGACAATCATGGCGGCTGGGGCAAGTGACCGGGCGACTGGTTCGGGGGCGTGGCCAGCCGGCTATTTCTACTGGTTCTGCGACCTTGGCCCAATTTTTGCTAATGGTTCGTGCAAATTGTAGGTTTTCTAATCCAAACCCCCACCCAAGCAAGAGACCTTCCACCAAGGGTCTTACATTGTCACAGTGGCATCATGTGATGTATTGGGACTTTTTCCCTCTTCACTAAACTGGGCATGCGTGAGGCCAGTGCGTGATGCATCCAGTCTGCAGGCCAGAAATTTGATAGTCCTGCCCTACACCATTTCTGACAAATGGCAGTCCAGTGTCTTTTTGAAAGCTTCCAGTGATGAAGCTTCCACAACTTCCGAAGGCAAGCTGTCTCATTGGCTGATTGTTCTCACTGTCAGAAATTTCTCCTTATTTCTAGTTACTCTCTCCTTCGTCATTTTCCACCCATTATTCCTTGTCTGGCCTTCAGGTGCTTTTGAAAATAGCTTGACCCCCTTCCTCTCTGTGGTAGCCTCTCAAATATTGGAATACTGTTATCATGTCCTTTTATTCACGAGACAACCATGCCGACTTGCAACCATTCATTGTATGTTTTAGACTTTGATACCTCTATCATTACATTATATTCTGGAGTAGCATATACATTACACAAAAGATGGAAACATCACTTCAATTAACGCTAGTCAAGTAAAGGGAACCACACAAAAAAAATGATTAAAGGAATAGAAATGACTAATGCCCAAATACAATATAAAAAACATCCTGTTTATGCTTTCAAAGGTAGCAAATGCTTTCCTGTGCAAGCATTCATTAGTATATCTCCTCCACAGTTATATTAAACTGTTCCCTATTGAAAATAACATTTCTATAGGATAAGTGTAAGTCCTTCATATGAGACATGACCTATTGTATTGTATTGCATCATGTATGGTACTGTATTTATTATTGTCAATAATAAATAAAATAAAATAAATATACTGTACTCTGCATACATGAAATTCTGAAATTAATTAGAGTTTAGTGATGATCATCGGCATCGCTATGCTTATCCTTGAGAAATAAGAGGGGTTGGATTTCCCAAATGTCAAGCAATGGAATATTCCATCCATGTTTTGTTTGAATGTTCTTAGTTCTTAGTCCCAAACCCATAGAAATATTGTGGGAGAGGTAATCAAATTTCTTGACAAAACCAATAATTTATAAATATTAAATCTTCAGATTAATTCCTAATATATCTTTCTGCAGTGATCAAGCAGTACTGAAATATCATTCAATATGCACAAAGTTTGACATTGTCTTTATTTTCCAAATTTAATGACTTTGAAGGAAAATCTAAAGCAAATTCTATTTCATTATATGTTCAGTGATCACAGCATAATCTTAGCCCTCATATTAATTGGAAAAGCATTTTAATATTCTTCCAGAAAATCATTTGTGTAGAGGCTTGCCTCACTTCTGTGGGAAAGATGCCCCAAAGGATGAGGACAACAGCAGAGTAAGCTTTCCTCCTAGATCCCATTAGTTGAAATTCTTTGACTAATGGGATTCACAGCATGCTGTCCCTGCTTGATTTGGTGGGATAAATCAATGCAATTGGGATGAAACAGCTCCTGAGTTTCGTTTCATTTCATTTCATTTCATTATTTCCTTTCTTTCCTTTCCTTTCCTTTCCTTTCCTTTCCTTTCCTTTCCTTTCCTCTCCTCTGCTCTCCTCTGCTCTTGTCTCCTCTCCTTTTTTTCCACTTTGCAAATTAAGTAGGATTCATATTGAGCTTAATTAGTGTGCAAAATACACTAGCTATGCCTACAAACAATTTGTATTATATATCAGAATAAACTATGAAATATACATATAATACAGTGAGAGATCTTTTGGAAAAGAAAACTTTACATTCCAAATAATTTTTGAACGAACATTGAAAGAGCATTAAACAGTTATCTAACATTTAAGAACTTACATGAGACAAATTAAAATTCTTTATTTCAAATCCTGAAAATGAGTGATTTCATCACAGGAGAAATAATCACATATTATGGCAAAAGCTAAGCCTAAATAAAATGAACTATTGCTGGGAGGTTTAGCATAGACAAAAGCAATATAAATGTACAATGAAACAACAGTGAGATGTTAGAGGCAGGTGGAGAAGGCCTTTTGCTGTCCCTGTACAGCAGGGATTTGAAGTATAGTTCTGAAGATCTATACATAATTTGTTGAGATAAAGAAAAAGCATTCCACCCCTAGACTAGAAATCACTACAAGAAGAGCAACTTCAATTAGGTATAGGTCAGAGCAAGAAAGTTTCAGTAACTTAGGTATTTCACAGAAAAATTGGTCAACTTTATTTGAACAGAAGTCATTGAAAATGTACTGCTTGTGTGCAATATGGCATTAAGAAATCCAGATATCCACACTAAGGCTACCATTTTAATATAGTCTCCACTGTTTATTATTGCTTCATCGTATAATAGATTGCAATTAGCAACATTATGATGATGTGCCATTACTGTTAAGAGGCAGATCTCAGATTCATATAAAAAAAGAAAAAGAAAATATGAATGACATCTGTAGAATAGAAAATGAAATGTCTGCTCATGGGTGAATTCAACATAGATTTGGGTATAATCAATGAAATGGAAGTTACATCAATAATTGCTAATTTAATTAATAGGAAGTAAACATATTTGTGCAGGTGATGGTCAAGGGCAATGGAAATGATGGTGAAAATATTTTCCAGCAATGTGATTACATATACTGCTAGAAAGAGGAAGGAATGTAAGATCTGTAACTCTTGAACTTGAGAAAATTCCAGAAGCAGGAACTCAAAGTCATAGATAAGATTTGGCATTTTGTGCTCTCTGTAGGAAGAAGAGCAAAAAGGATTAGTAGAAGTTGATTTTTCTGATAATACAATGTTCTTAACTTGAATAATTTAATTTAGGTTAATTAATGAGTTGAAAAAATCTGGTGAAAAGAAAGGTGTAAAATGATGTAAAAGTAACAGATGGAAATTTATCAAGGAGACATCCAACTTAGAACTAAGAAGAAATTTCCTGACAATGAGAACAATTCATCAGTGGAACAGCTTGCCTCCAGAGGTTGTAAGTCTTCCTTCACTGGAGATTTTTAAAATGAGATTGGACAGCTATTTGATTGGAATGGTATAGGGTCTCCTGCCTAAGCAGGGGTTGGAGTACAAGACCTCCAAGATCCCTTCAGACTCTGTTATTCTATTTTCTTTGTTCTGTGAACCAACTATAGCCTCCAAATCATCCTAAGCAAAGCAAAATATCCAGCAATCTGCTCCTCTCAAAAAAATAAACACTAGGAGTAATATAAAACATATAATGTAAGAATAGTAACAGCAACTAATGCAGGATAAACAAGCAGAAGATCAGAAGAATTCATCCATCAACATCAACTAGCACTCAGAATACTTCTAAATTTATATACAGTATTTTAAAGATTCAGATTAATTCCTGATATATCTTCCTGTTGCAATCACACAGAACTGAAATGTCTTTCAATATGCACACTCAACATTTGATTTTGCTTTACTTGGCAATAAATAGTGCCTCTAACATATTAAGCAGAAAAATTGACATTATTTCTTTTCTGAAGAAGGATTGAGACCTAGTAGTTTTACTAAGGCCAGCCCAATCTCTTTGTTTCTCAGACCATAAATTATTGGATTCAGTAGCGGGGGCATTAAAGAATATATAACAGTAAATAATAAATTCAGACATAACTCAATGTTAGAATTGGGCTTCAAATAAGCAAACATTGTAGTTGACATAAATATGGAAAATACAATGAGGTGTGGAAGGCAGGTTGAGAGCACTTTTTGTTTCCCATGAACTGACGTAATTTTCAACACTATAATCAAAATCTTCGTATAAGAGAGAATGACAAAAGTAAAGCAAACTAAAGCTAAACTACAACTTAATAAAATAATTAAAATTTCATGAAAATACCACTCTGAGCAGGAGAGAGTAAGCAAGCGTGGTATTTCACAGAAAAATTGATTGACAACGTTAGAACAGAAAGAGTTTGCAAATGTTCCTGCAGTGTGTACTAATCCATAAAGAAGACCGCTTATCCATGTGCTAGCAATGATTTGCTTGCAGACTGTCCTGCTCATCACCATCTCATAATGTAAAGGTTTGCAAATGGCAATATAACGATCATATGCCATGACTGTGAGAAGAGAAAAATCAGACCCCATGAAAAAGATAAGGAAAAAAACCTGAGCAACACATCCAGAATAAGAAATGTATCTAGTATTCTTGAGAGAATTGATCATGGATTTGGGAATAATGACTGAAACTTGACCAATGTCTTGCATGGCCAAGTTCATCAGAAAGAAGTACATGGGGCAATGTAGGTGACTGTCAAAAATTACTGCAGAGATTATAAGAACATTTGCTGTAACTATTCCCAAGTATAGTATCAGGAACACAACAAAATGCAATATCTGAAGTTCTGAATTCGTTGAAAATTCAAGAAGGAGAAATCCAGAGACTGTTTGATTGCTCATTGCTTCATGAGATATTTTTTGTCCCTGGGAAGAAACAAAATGAAACTTTTTGAAGTATAATTTTAATTATGACTATAACTTGAATTAGATTAGTTTTGGGTAGTTTAAAAAATAATTTACACTATGTTCAAACTTCCTTAGCTTTTCAATGTCCAAGCCAAGTTATTCTAATACTTATAAAAGAGAATAAAGTTCATTTTGAGATGACTTCACTAAAAAATGGCACTTATACATTTTTCCGGTAAAAGAAGAACTTAATTTACTTTTAGCCATACTTTTTTTAAGGAATGAAATATGTGCTATAACACTTGACAGAAAACTATAGGAAATAAATTTATTACATCTTTATAAATTTGATCTCAGTACTCCAGAAGATCTTCAAGAGTACATGAATATGGGAAAATAAATTATTTTCTGATTATAGTTCTATTATAATCCAACTAGAAGACTAAAGGACTGCAATAGATTTATAAATCAATAACAGCGTTTGCATTCAACATCCTACTTTAAATCCTTCCAAGATATCTTAGTGAAATTGAATTGCGCTCAATTAATTTCAGTACTATTGCAGAATGGTTATCAAGTTTTACTTTAGCATAAAATGTAACAAAGCAGGAAAATCATTTTAGCAATTATTGGTATAAATTATGATTACCAAAGATGAAACTCACTTCTGTAATCTCAAAGAAAGATGCACTGTATCTATCATTCTGATAGATGCTATTTCTAACTTTCTGCAATGGGACGAGAGTAGTTCCTCAAATTAACAGATTGAGTATATTCTGTAATGTGGAGGTCTATGAGTTCATTTCCACATAAAGGTTTGGAATCCCAAGGAACAGCAGCTATATATGTTTAAGAATCCCGAACAAGATGAAACCATTCATGTATTCTCTTCTGTGATCATTGTAGGATAAATTCAGTGGTTCACAATTCATTCTATTGTTGAAGCCCCCTAGAAATACACATTTCACTTTGATAATATCCCAAAGGCAATAGGTTTCAAAGAGTTGGACCTGAAACTTCAAGAACTCACTCCTTTTTTGGAAAGCACTAGATTGTGAAAGGATACTACATAGTATAATTAATTAATATACCATAGTCACTTCAAGCAAAGGACACTGATCCATTTGCCCATGTATGCTGAAAGTTTTTGTTTTTCAAATAGCACATGTATCAAGGGAATTTCTAATAAATGTAACACAACATAACAGAGAGAAAACGAGGGAATGGAATAAAACTGTCAAAGTTATGACAATGCTGAGAAAGTACCAAATAATCTGAATTGCAATACAAGATGGTCCCATAGTGGAGATATGAACTATGTGAACTGGATGAAATAACAGAACAAAACTGAGGACATAGGTACTGTATACTAGGGTACCAGTAGCAATGGAATGTTCATAATCTGATCAATTGTCATATCATTATAAATAAATATAATAGTTAAATGAAAAATCATATAAAATTACCTATTCTGCTGGACATTCTATCTTGGCTAGAGGCTACTTATAATGCTGTAGTAACCTTCGTAGCAGAAGTGGTATTCAGCAGATTCTGACCAGTTCTGGAGTACCGGTAGCGGAAATTTTGAGTAGTTCAGAAAACTGGTAAATACCACCTCTGACTGACCATCTATTCTCTGCCTCCTGAGTCCTAGCTGATCTGGAGGAAATGGGGATTCTGCAGTATCCTTCCCCTGGAGTGGGGAGGGAATGGAGATTTTACAGTATCCTTCCCCTGCCATACTCACCAAGCCATGTCCACCAAGCCGTGCCATGCCATGCTACGCCCACCAAGCCACCCCCACAAAACTGGTAATAAAATTTTTTGAATTCCGCCACTGCTCTGTAGTATCATCATCATCATCATCATCATCATCATCATCATCATCAATCATTTACCCATTATCTATCCATTGCAGGATGAAGGACTCTTCCACATATTTCCAACCTATTCAGGCCTGCAATACTTGATGTCATTGATCCATCTTGTTTTAGGTCTCTTTTGTGGATATTGTTTTTATCAAGTGAGATCCATTTTAGAACTACCTTGATCCACCTGCCATCAGTTCTTTTTGCTATGTGACCAGCCCATTTCCATTTCAATTCTTGTACTCTCTTGATGATATCATATACTTTTGTTTGTTTTCTAATTCACGAGAAGATCTTTCAATCTTGTCTTATAATACCAAGGATGTATCTTTCCATGGCTCTTTGCATCATTTGTGACGTTAGTGCCCATCTTTCATGGGCATATGTTAGAGCAGGTAGCATATACTGATTGAAAAAGTTTCTCTTTAGGTATAGGGGGATAGGTATAGGTATAGAATTGTTCCTGAAAATTATGCTTAGCTTGGCAAATACCTGCCGACTACATTTAAGATGTTATTCAATTTCCTTTATTGTATCACCTTCCACTGAGGTATATGTAGAGGTCTATTATGTCTAGTTCTTTTATATATATATATATATATATATATATATATATATATATATATATATATATATATATGTATGTATGTATGTATGTATGTATGTGTATATATATATATATATATATATTATGTATGTATGTATGTATGTGTGTATATATATATATATATATATATATATATATATATATATATATATATGTAGGTCTTTGGTTATTCGGGTTTTCTCCCACGTAAAATTGGAACTGTCTTGGCGACGTTTTGACGAAGTCTCATTTGTCATCTTCAGGCTGGTGTTTTCAGCTTTGTGCTTCTAGGACTGTCTGACTTACTTCAAGATGCCACATATAAACCCATAAACACAGACCGAACAACCTTGAAAGAGGTGGTAGTGAGGCCCCTCCTCAAGAAGCCCTCCCTTGACCCAGCTGAATTAGCCAACTACCGTCCAGTCTCCAACATTCGTTTTGTGGCGAAGGTTGTTGAGAGTGTGGTGGCACGACAGCTTCCCTGGCACCTGGATGAAGCTATCTATCTGGACCCGTACCAGTCGGGCTTCAGGCAGGGGCACAGCACAGAAACGGCATTGGTCGCATTGGTGGATGATCTCTGGAGGGCTTGGGATAGGGGTTGCTCCTCTGTCCTAGTCTATTAGATCTCTCAGCGGCTTTTGATACCATCGACCATGGTATCATGCTGCAGTGGTTGAGGGGGTTAGGAATAGGGGGCACCCTTCTGCAGTGGTTCTCCTCCTTCCTCTCTGACCGCTCACAGTTTGTGTTGGCAGGGGGGCAGAGGTTGACCTAGAGGCGCCTCACATGGGGAGTGTCGCAAGGGTCGGTCCTCTTGCCCCTTCTGTTCAACATTTATGTGAAGCCGCTGGGTGAGATCATCCATGGTTTTGGGGTGAAGTGTCATCTGTACGCTGATGATACTCAGCTGTACATCTCCACCCCAGACCACACCAACGATGCCCTTGATGTGATGTCTCGCTGCCTGGCGGCCGTGCGGGTCTGGATGGGGAGAAATAGGCTCAGACTCAACTCTTCCAAGACCGAGTGGCTGTGGCTTCCGGTCTCCCGATATAGTCAGCAGGTGCCATCACTGACTATTGGGGGTGAATCTTTGCCCCCCACAGAGAGGGCTTGCAATCTGGGTGTCCTCCTGGACACACAGCTATCTTTTGAAGAGCATATGACGGCCGTGGCCAGGGGGTCCTTTTATCAAGTTCGCCTGATTCGCCAGTTGCAGCCCTTTCTGGACTGGAACACCTTGCGCACGGTCACTCACACCCTTGTTACCTCCTGGCTGGACTATTGTAATGCTCTCTACTTGGGGCTCCCCTTGAAGAGCACTCAGAGGCTCCAACTGGTCCAGAATGCGGCCGCACGGGTGGTTATGGGCGCAACTCATTGTGCCCATGTGACACCCCCCTGCGCGAACTGCACTGGCTCCCAGTGGTCTTCCAGGTGCGATTCAAGGTGTTGGTCACCACCTTTAAAGCGCTCCATGGCATAGGACCCGGGTACCTTCGAGACCAATAGCCTCCCACTGGCCAGTTCGCTCCTACAGAGAGGATCTCCTCAGGGTGCCATCGGCCAAGTTATGTCAGCTGGTGACACCGAGGGGGAGGACCTTCTCTGTGGGAGCCCCAGCCCTGTGGAATGAACTGCCCCCAGAAGTGTATAAGATCTCCGACCTCCGGGTATTTCACTGTGCACTCAAGACCCTGTTGTTCCGCCAGGCCGGGCTATCAACATAATAATTTTAAATTGGGTGTTTTAAATTTCTGGGGTTTTAAATTGAACCGAATTATTTAATAATTTAAATAATTTTAATTGATGTTTGTCTTGTGCTTTTAATAGGCTGTACACCGCCCTGAGTCCTTCAGGAGAAGGGCGGTATAGAAATAAAATTATTCTTATTCTTATATCTAGAAAAAAACCACAAGGATAAAGATAAAATCAAGTACTATAAGTAAAGAAATCCAACAAACAATTATTCCCAGAGAAAAATCATCAAAATGTCCAAAACTGTATGGCCTCCCAAACATACACAAAGATGGAATACCTCTTAGACCCATAGTAAGTTCCATAGACTCACCGTTACAAGAAGATGATGAATGAGACGTCGTCGAAACGTCACCAAGACACTTCCAATTTTACGCGGGAGAAAACTCGAATAACTAAAGACCTACATACAAACACCCGCGAAAACCTCAGAAAACACACACACACACATATGGAAATATTATAAATAATATTTCAGACAAACTCACACACATATATATTATGTGTTATGTGTATATTAAAAACATAACCTAGTTTTTTCAGATTTATTTTTAAGCAAAATGGTTCTCCTGCTTCATGCAGCTCTTGTATATGTCTTTGTAGCTCTTTTGGGAGAAGAGAACAACATTATCTGCAGATTTTAAGTGATTTAAATAGTCACCATTGATTTTTATATACCTCTGTGTGTGTATACATATACAGTACATATACTTATAAACTGAACCATCATTACTCTTGGATTAATGAGTGGCAAAATAATTTTCAAATATAATATTTATATAAAATATTTATATTTGCTGTCTTCTTTTTTATACTAGATGGTTAAATTTCCAAAGAAAGAGAAATATAACTTTTTTTATAGCAAAGAATAATGCTTAGGGATTTGTTGATTAAAGGCTGAACAATAACCACCATGTTTCTGTTCTGTTTTACTTCTTCAAGTGGATCCTCAGGTTGATGGTTCTCCTTGCAGCTCCAGACCAAACCAGTTCATTAACACATGTTTAGTAGTCGTACTATAGATTGAAACATGGGCAGCACAATCTTATTCTTTGTGTAAATAACACTCTTTCCCAACATGTAGTCTGCAAAGTAATATAACCATAACTTCCAATATTTATTTTAAAAATACAGGTAATCCCTGGGTTATAAGTGTTCATTTAGTGCCCATTCGAAGTTATGAGATAAATCCCCCTATGAATATTGCAGCACCATGACAGTTGTTCACCTTTATGAATGACTGAAGAGGTCTGCAATGTTCTCCCTATTTCCCCCACGCTCTCCACAATTTCCTCCCCCTCCTTTCCTGCTCTGTTGGACTCACTTCCCTTACAATATCTATCTCGTCTGTGCCACAGTTTCTGTGCCTTTAAGGGAGAGGAGAGTCAATGGAAATTCCTTAGTACTGCAATCTAATCTTTTGCAGAGACTGGGTGCCTGAACTCTCACAAGATCACAGACCTCAGAAACTTTAATTCTGGGCATGAAAAGTGTTTGTGGTCCCTTTCTCTTGCT